CTTTCTAGATCTTCAATACTTAAATGGTACTTTAGAAAAAGTTTGTCAAAGAGACTAAATCAGGACTGACAGTGATAAGTGGACTACAAACCCAAGGCTAGGAGTTCATTTCCACTTGTAGTTTTCAGGTAAATGACATCTCTTCCAGTTGATTCCCACAGCCAAGACTAGTTCAGATTTCCCAAAACAGTGAACAGAAAATAGAAGCTTCAGAGAGCTCCAGAGTTTGAGTAACACCCAAGGTAAATTCCCAAGCAGTCAAAAACCCACACAGCTTAGCCACTTGGACGTAAGGGTTTTCAGTGTCTTACCCAGATGAAAAAGCTATGAACACACAGATTCAAGCAAAGCCTGCCTGTAGCACTTGGGACAGAAAGGGTTTGTGATGGCAGGTGTTTCCATGTTGGTGATATATCAGCTACATGGAAGCTGGGGAAGGGCCCCTCCCCTCCATATGGAATGCTGGGCAACATCTGGCCCCAGAGTAGTCGGACATCTTGGAGAAGCAGCTTCTGGCAGAAGCACTAGAATTCCTGAATTCTCAGGTCTCAGGAGACACAGAGGTCCCACGAGGGTCAGGTCATTTCCTTTTGGGGCTTTCAATGCTTAGCTTGAATGAAGAGCCCCAGAACAGAGTCAGTCTTACCTGGCTGTCCCCATTAGCGGGAGCCGAACCCAGCCTGTCAGGCCGACCGGGTTGCCGGGCGGTGGGAGCTAGAGCCGCAGTTCCAGAGCTGGCACGCAAGACGGTCTGTACGAACAAGTCGCCACTAAACCACCGCTTGAGTCCAGGGTCCAGAGCTCTTTTTCTGCTCTGGAGTCCAGAAGCGTTTCTTTAAAAGCCAGAAAACCCCAAAAATGTGGGCCAGCAGATCGACTATGCCACCAGCCACTGCATCTTTTCAGTGCCACAGTTGTTGGCTCTCAGGAAAGCTGCCATGGTAACTCCAGAAATCGGCTCCAACAGCTGTTTTTTAACATCTTTCTACCAAACGCATCTGTACTTAAAACCAGGCACATGGATGAGCTGCTTCTCTCCCACGTGCGCAAGCCTTGGTAGTACTTGCCTGTGAAATTTCTCTAATACCTGGAACTCGCCACCCAGGACACTCTCCTCTAAACAGCCAATGACAACACCCAATTCTACATCCGAGGAGGAAGAGGCGCGGAGGAGCGTCTGCGCCTGCGTGGAGGCGGGGCCTCGGCCCCTTGGGCGGCCGCCACGTGCTGGCAGTTCTGTGAGAGTCTGTTACCCACCGCTGAAATGCAGTTTATAAAATAATCCTGAAAAGGCTCTCTCTATAGGAGTTTTATGTAAGTACTTGAGGATACTTTATGTAGGTATCTGAGAATATTCTCTATAAAACTGATGGCAACAGAAATGTTGAACAAGTGATTGAATTGAAAATAGAATTATCTTGAGGTCGTATTTAATTTGCAATTTGAAAATTCTATGATCCTAGAATATATTTTTGAAAAAACTCTAAAAACTCAATAGTAAAAATAAATAATAATAATCCAATTACATAATAGGCCAAAGGCATGAACAGATATTTAAGCAAAAAGAGATATGGATAGCAGCAATGCACGTGAAACGATGTTCAAAATCATTAGCCACTAGGGAAATGAAAATTAAAACAGTGAGTTTTCCCTACAAAATTACTGAACAAGTGAACTAAAAAAAAATAGTAATAAAACAAAATGCTGGTGAGAATGTGCAGAAACTAGGTACATTAGTGGTGGGAATGTTTATGGTACTCTGGAACATAGCTTGACAGTTTCTTAGCATATGACCCAACAATTGTATTCTTTGGCATTCATCCCAAAGAAATAAAAACTTAGGTTCGTACAACTATCTATGTACAAACCCTTACAGAAGTGTTATTGGTAATAGCAAAATACTGGAAACATCAATAGGCAAATGGACAAACTCTGGTACATCCATATAATAGAAATTTACTCAGTAATAAAAAGGAACGAGCTAGTGATACAAGCAACTCCCTGGATGAACTTCAGGGGCATTATGCTTAGTTAAAAAACAATAACAACAACAACTGTATGTTCCCCACTAATGTAACAGTCTCAAAATGGCAGAACTCTGGAGATGGAGAACAGATTAATGTTGGGGGGATGCATATACAAAGAGGATAGCATGTGGAAGTTCATTTGTGATAATGGAACCATTCTGTGTCTTAATTGTGGGAATTTTTTTTAATCCTATGACTTTCGTAAATATTTACCATAAAAGCAGTCAAAAGTTTCTACAGTGCTTTTGTGCAATACAATCCCAAAAGTGTTTAGATACACAGTGTTGGTTTAATTAAGCTTAAGTACCAATTTTGAATACTTATTAAAAGCTAATAGTATTGATTTTATTAGCATGCAACAATTTTATGCAAATGTGGATTATTTTATGGTAATAACAAGAACAGGGATACATTCATGGCAGTGACTCAGGGGATTCTTCGTATTGTTCCTTTTCTCTCCTTTCCTGTTAGTCTGTACTTTTTGCTCATTATCTCCCACTTTTCCAGAATTAGGGGTTTTATGTGTAAAACTTGGGGGCTGCAAAGCACCATTGAGGCAATCTCTTGCTCAGATCACTATTCTTGTTTGGAAGGACTTAGTGACTTTTCCTCTGCCTTATCTGAATTATCAGTGACACCATTTTATTTTCCTGGAAGTTCTTCCTGTCAGTTTCCCTCAGATCGAGGCATCAAACTGGGTAGTTCTATGATGACTGTTTGTTCTTTGGGCCCTATAGAAGAAGCACTTCTGGAAGACCTGAGCCTCAGTACTTCCTGGGGATGGATGGCAAATGGTAGCCTACCAACTGTGGGTATTTGTATAGGTGTCTTTCTGGTACTAGCCCCTGCCTGCTGCTTAAGCATGACGCTTAACTCTTTTAATTTATAACTGAGGAAATGAAAGAAAGTGAAGAAAGGCAGGATGTCAAAAAGCAGGTTAGCGATAAAAGAAGGCTTTGGTACAGGCTAACGCACGTGCAAATGCAGCTGTCAAAATCTCAAAAAAAAATTTAACTTCTGCATATATAAAATTCCTCATATATAGAATCGTTATAATAATAGCATCTATCTTATCAGTTGTTGTATTAATTGAGAAAATTGTTTTAAACCTCTTAGACCATTGCCTGTCATATGTGAGCGCCGCAATACACGTTCATTCTGTTTCTTTTGAGTTTCTACCCTATTTCTTAGCCCCCAGGGCAGTTTGAAGAGAACTAGCTTGACTGACTGCTAGGAATGAACAGGGTTAATTAACTTTTCCCAAGAAATGTGTTCCTGAAAAGAATCTGTATTGATTAAACCTTTCAAAATGGGGTCACTTTTAAATAGACTAAGGAAGTTTGTTTTGTGCCAAGTAAATGATCGCGCCCTCATGTCTCTGTCTTGAAGTTCTTCTAGTAGACCCCCATACTTGACTTTTCACTACCCTCTCTTCTGAGGGTTAGCACGACCTGGCTGTCCCCGCACCTGAGGAAGGAGGGGATTTACTACCTCCTGCAAATGGCTGAGTGAGGAAGTGAAATTGGCTTCGGGTGCTCATGAGTTGTCGGAATTCTTGAAAGCCCAGGACAGTCCAATCCTCCTGGTGAAGAATCTTCTCAAAGATTATGGACCAATAACTCCATTTCCAAAGACAGTTCAATGGGGATGGCTTAAACGAATCAGGTTGCCCTTAAAAGGCTCCCCTTCCCCACCCCCACCCCCCAACCGCCCCCCCCAACCGCCCCCCCTTCAACATCTCAGGAACACAGCACCTGAGAACTCCTTGGGGACTAAGGACACATTGTTGCCCTCTTTGTATCCCCTTGGTACACAGCAGCCTCCACACAGGTTTATTAAATGAATGAATTCCATAAGGTAGCTGAACACATCAATACCTTTATTCCCCAGTTGCCTCTTTTTATAGGCCGGGAGTGAGGAGGTGTAAGGCACACTAATTTTAGCAAGCTGACTGAAAGCTCCCTGAGGGCTGGGACAAGGCTGGTTGTGTGCATTGTCACTTTCTTAGAGCTGGACAGGGTACCTACCATACCGTGGGCACACAATAAGTATTTGTTCTATGAATGCATACAGACAGCCCCTGGTCCTGTCCTCAGAGGTCACAGTCAGCCTAGAAGAGCTTAGAGAAAAGTTCACCAGGAGGACTGGACTGTCCTGGGCTTTCAAGAATTCCGACAACCCAGGAGCACCCGAAGCCAATTTCACTTCCTCACTCAGCCATTTGCAGGAGGTAGTAAATCCCCTCCTTCCTCGGGTGGGGGGACAGCCAGGTCGTGCTTACGCCCCCTGCAGGGACCCCAAGTCACAGAGGAAGGTAACCCGGGGCGGGGGGGGGGGGGGGGGGGAGCCCGCCAGCACGTGCAGCCTCCCAGGACAGGAGGAGGCTGGGCTAACGCAGTCCTTAGTCAGCAGCTGGGCTCGCTTTTGAAACAAAAGCCAATGTCCTCCCTCGGAGTCCGCGGCCGGTCAGCTCCTAGGGGGAAGAAAGCCATGCTGCCCAGCCGGTTAGTGGCCCAACTTACTTTTCCAGAGCCTGGGACAAAGGGCCAGCAGTTGTACGGGTGTGGGTGGGACGCCGCGGGTAGGGACGGGGGCCCCGGATCGCCCTGACCCGACCGTCCCGGCCGCCTGGGAGAAGGGTCGGGGGCGCCCGTGCTCCGTGCATGTTCGTCCGGGGCAGTCCGCCTCCCAGCCCCGGCCCTCCCCACCCCCCGGGTCTGCGTAAAGCTGAGGCACCTTTGCCACCCGCGCCCTAGCGCACAGACACACCAGGCCCCGGTTTCATGAATGAAATCCAATCGTGTGGATATAAATAGCCGCGAAGGCTGCTAACGTCACAGTGCGAGCGGCGGCCGCCACGGCGGCGGAGCTCGGGGCCGGGCGCTCGGTTCCGCCCGGCTGGCCCGCCTGGGAGCGGGGTGGGGGCAAGAGGAGAAGGGGAGGGCTGGGGTGGGAAAGGGCGAGCCCCTCTCCCCCGGACGGGGACGAGCGGCCGCGGCGCTGGGCGAGCCCGAAAGGCGAAGCAGTGCCATGCTGCCTTTGTGCAAAGTTGGGCGGCGGGCGGCACGCGGCGAACAGGGGTCCCGCACACCCGCGACCGCGCGCAGTCGTGGCTGCTGCTGAGTGGCGGGGACCCCCCCGCTCCCCCCAACCCTTGAAGGCGGAGAGAGCTCGCGTCTCGCTCGGCTTCAGGGTAGGTTCTGTGTCGTGAGTGCGCTATGGTATGAAACTTATTCTTCGAGCAGCCGCCGCGGAGCCCCCACCGCCCGGGCCCCCAGCGGGTGGCGGGGGGGGCGCCGCGCCACGCGGCCAGCAGCGTCCCGACAGAGAGTTGTGGGACCGAGCTGCTGTGGGAGCCGCCCTCGCCTCTCGGCGAGGCCGGGAACCCTCACATCAGAGGCAAGCAGAAGAGATTTCCAGGAGCGCCCGGACAGCCGCGCCCCTTCTTGGAGCTGAGAAAATGTACAACAGGCACCCTTAGCAGGCTGGCTTCGCCAGGGAGGGGGTGGTGCCGCGTCGACAGGAGGGCTCTTTTCCTTCGAAGAACAGTCGTGGGGAGTCGGAGGACCCGAAAAGGTGGATCGCTCGTCCGTTTAGCGCTTGCACCCCCTTGAGAGTTGACTGGTCAGCCCAGTTTGGCGCTCCCCACCCCCAACCCCGTGTCTATGGAGTCTGTTGTGAGTTGCTGTGACAACAGTGGGAGCTGCCATGAGGGGCTTGCAAAGCACCTTACCTTGTCTCTGTGTGCTCAGCTTTCGGGGAGAACAATGGGGTGAGGGGTGGAGAGGGGAGATGTTGCAGACAAGGGAATCCAATCCCCTCTCCAAAAAAAAAAAAAAAAGAAGAAGAAGAAGTGGAAGGAAGGCACAACTATGTAAAAATATATCATTAGATCCTACTTTTAGCTGCGCCTTCTCTATCCTCAGCAGTATCAAACATCTCAACTGAGGAGCAATGTCAATATTTAGACTTGGACAAGCCAGAAAGAAGGGAGCGCCAAGCTCAGGGTTTTGACTTGGCTTTGCTCGTCAGCACACAAGCTGTGCCTTTCGAGCTGACTGTACACATTTGCTGGGGAGGGGGGGAATGCATGAAGGTTGATACATATACAAAGGCACCCAGACCTAGGAAACGCCAGGAAGTTAAGACCTGAAGAGTCGCCTTAACTTTGAACTCCCCCCGCCCCAACCTGTGCTGTTCATGCAGTTCTGCTGGACCCCAGCCAGAGGCTCAACTTGAGGTTTCTCTAGTTTGGGGCTCCTCCCTCCTCAACCAGGGCTGGGCTGCATATTCTACACTGTCCTGTGTATCCTCTCTAAACTGAAGAAAATATTGTTATCAGTAATTTTCATCTTTGTATAAAGTCCTCTCACTATCAGCAGATATAAATAGCTAATAGGCTGTGTTTGTGTAACCTCGGGCAAGCTCTAGGCTTTTCTAAACATACATTGATAAGTTTGTTTACAAACACTCTTTAGAAATTTGGAATTACATTTCCTTTCCAGTAACTTTGTAGATGCCTAGGAGTCACTGGTTGCTAGAAAATAAACACAAGTTCTTTTCAGTATAAATAATGTCTGCCTACTGCTCTGCAGGTGGGGTAGGCAGTAAATTATTATATTAGGTTGCCTCTGAGATTCCTGGATCATATTTAGACATACTAATGGGAAAGGGGTTTAACCAGTTCCTCTCAGTGTGGAAGATTTTGAAAAATCATTGGGAAGCAATAAAATCATGGGCAGCCTTCTTCTAAACTTACCCATTGGTTGTTATTTTCCCAAATTTTGAAGGTAGTGTAAATTTAAGTACTTAGGGCTGTGTGCGATCACAGAGGTCAAAATAGAAACACAGGTAATTTGATGCCATTGGCCCAGTATCACAACTTATAAACTATACAAATATAATTTAATAGGAAAAAGTAGAATCATTTCATCTTTTACTTATGATGATATTGCCCCAAAATATTATTTTGGAGGAATAATGTGTCCACTTCTATGACTTCTGTATGGTAAAATGCCTGGAAGGTTTTCCTTGTTCCTGTCCGTGGGTTTGGGCCAAGTGCTTTTTTTGTATCATCCCCAAATGCTCAGAAATATATTTTCACAAATGCTACAAAATGTTAACCTAACTATTTCAGGATATTTGACCCAAAGAAATGCCACTAGAGTAAAGCAGATTCTGCCCTGTGGGGGTGGAGGGGAGAAAACTGTGTGTTGAAAATTGTGGTGGCTCCCCATGTGTTCCTGGTCAGCAGTAGGACTTACAAGTGTTTCTCTCTTTTATGTAGGTAAGTCCAGCTGTGAGCAGGGTGTTCTGTTCTTCACTTCCAGAAAGCCAGGTCAGTGTCTCAGTGCAAACCCATGACCGTAGATTGATGACATGTTGTGTCTAATTCTGAGCATGGATTTCAGAACAAGTTTCTGAGTCATTTGTCTTAAAACAATTTGTCTTTACCATTTTTTCATAGACTCAGTTATGAAGATCACAAGTTCAGTGATTAATAAAATTATTCTCTTTACTCTACGAGTAAATGGTACTAAAATGAACCTTGAATTGGTTTGTACTTTACAACTTTTGTGGAGGGGTGGGGGTCAAAGGGACGTCAGAATCACTGAGGATGCTGGGGATCTGGGTGCTTGATAATTAAGGTTTTACTTCTAGTCTTAGCACTCTAGAGCTGGAAGAAACTTGATATAATAATAGCTCATATTTTTTTAGCATAAACCAAAGTTTGGATAATGTGTTGCATTCTTTACATTTATGTTCTCATTCTGCATCTTAAAAAAAAAAAAAAAACCCTCTGAGGTGAAACTATTCTCTTGATCCCCAAAAGACAGGTGAACAATTGGAAGTTCAGAGAAGTTAGATAATATATTCCATTCCTACTTCTAGGAAATGGAAGAACTAGGATTTTTAAAAATTCTGTCTTACACTAAAACCTAGACTTTCTAGTTGAAAAATTCTTCTCTAGTAGGGAAATTGGGGCCAAGAAAGGTTAAGTGAGTTGCCTAAGATAACTTGGTAATTACAGTTCATATAATAACATGAAACAGCCCAACTGTTGCAAAAGATAAACACCCTTCTCTTAAATAAAATGGTGTAATAGTAAGTATTCATGTGTACTTTCTGGCATAGCACTAAGATTAAAAAAGTTTTTATCAGGAGATCTCTGATCTTAAGGATCTTACAAACAGATTTAAAAGGCAAGATATTAAACATTCATGTATGAAAAATTAGAGGATAAATCAAGATCATACGTGTCAAAACGCTGAATTGGGAGGTCAGTGGTACATTTACGAGTTCAGCATTTTCCACTCTGTGGAATTACTTTGCAATTCCATGTATGCGTGGAAGAAATTTCAAGCACATATTTTGTCTGGATAGATGATAAATGAGTGAGAGTTTAGGAAAAGACAGAAGGTAGAATTTCAACCCAACAGGGAGAGATTATGCCGTCATCCAGAACTGCTAAATTACAGTATCTCAAACTCAAAGGTGTTATTGCTTCAAAAGCATTGTAACAAAATTGTGAGCTGTTTGAATCTGCACAGCATCTTTGAGAAAGCATTACTATTTAGCATGATACTTTAAAGTACTCAATTCCTTTTGGAACCTTAATTTGCCTAAAATGTGACATACAGATAAATTTGGATGCATCATAGATAAATCCCAACCAAAATTCTGAAAATGGCCAGTAAAGATTAAGCAGGACATTTTCAGTTTTTACCAGGATTGACAGCCTTCTCTTCCCAACTTGCCTGCTTTTTGTAGAATAATTTCTAACAGTTGTCAGTCCTTCTTAGGCAGTATTATATAAAGGAGTAAACAAATAATGAAATGGGGAACAAATTAGTAAAGAAAACCTTAATATGTCATCTTTTAAAAAATGTACTGATATCCCAACTCAAGCTAATAGCCCTAAAAGCTTAATTAGCTAAGAGATACTTTTAAGTATTTAAGGGGTTGTTATAAGCTGTCCTATAATAGCGTTGTCCTGTACAAGTTGTTCTACAGTGTATCATTACAGAATAGATCATAAGAACACTGAGAAGATCCCATTGCAAGTTAAGACCTCACCATCAACTGATACTTAGTTAAGTGTGGCAGTGCTGTGTCATAAAAATACCAGTATAGCAACTGTAAACCTGTAGTTATTTAAAAAGTAAAATTAGGGGCACCTGCCTGGCCCAGTCAGTAGAGCATGTGACTCTTGACCTTGGGGGCCTGAGTTCGAGCCCTGTGTTGGGCACAGAATTTAGAAAATAAAAAAACCTAAAAATAAATAAAGAGTAAAATTATATTCTGAGTCAGATGTTAGCAAGACCTTATAATTAGCATGTTATCCCTAATAATAATTTAAATAGCAATCATTCATTTGCTTTATTGAACTTCAGAAGCCTTTGGTTCATATGCTTGACCTATCTTGAAACATGGATGGAAACACTTGAAATTTTATTGTTCTTCACTTGGGAAATTTGCCTGTAGAAAACAGAGGAATTTAAAAAAAAACTTTTCGATTGGTCTTCTTTTAGAAAACAGGCACTTCAGTCTCATTGTTTGAAGGCCTCACTCTTGCGTCATGTAATAGGGTTCAAAGAGTACAGGTGATCTGAATTTGGTTTTTGCGTTCATCTTCTTTTCTGCACTCAGGCTTCCCACCAGCCTCACAACACCAAAACAAAACTTGGAGAAGGAATGAAACTTAAGTCACGAAAAGTGGCCTATGTTGTGTAGAAAGGGGCAGGAGGTGCGAGAGTCGGGGAGTGGGGAGGGAAGCTTTGCTGGGAAGACCAAGAGGCAGTCACTCAAATGGGTGGGATGTGTATGGACGGGTTAGTTATATATCAGCCTCCAAATTATTTTTTTTTCAAAAGTCACCACCTCCTCTTCCTGAAATCCTGTGTTCCTTGTGCACATAGGGCAGAAACTGGGAAATAGGCAAATAAAAGAAACTGACATGAACTGTGGGTATGACAGTCACTCTTTCCAGATGGCCCAAGACACTTCTGTCTCCAAATACTCCCTCCAGCTGTCCCATCTAGTACATTAGCATTGTCTCTGGCAAGGTTCTCTCCACTAAGGGATGAATTCGGAAGTTTTACAAAGAAAGAAGGGGATGCCAGTAGGTACAGAAGAAGCAATTCCATTTCTCCACTCTGCACCTGTGTTTATTTATTGCATAGACACAGGTTAATGCCAAGTTCCCCATACTAATGAGGTTACCATTCTCAGGCTCCATCCCTCTGTGAGGAAAGTTCCTTTGAATTGTTACTCAACCATAGTCCAAACCCCTAATGAGCACTAGAATAATAATAACCAGTGATTATTATGCACCTGTTAGATGCCAGACATTTTACTGCATTTCATCTAAAATTACCAAATTCCAATTTTACAGAAGCAAAAAAATGGAACTCAGATATGTTAAGTTCAAAGAGCTAACAGAAGGTAGAGCTTAGATTTGCACCCAGGTCTGCCTAAGAACTTGAACATGTGTTTGCTTTAAATCAACTCCTGGAGGGCAGGGGAGAGAAACACTTTAAACCATTTCATCCCAGGTTATTTTTGCAGATGGTAGACACAGGAGTTAAATAATTATTCTTATGGGGTTTTTTGTTTTGTTAGTTTTGTTTTTGATCTAACTTGAACCACATAGCAGGCCTGTCTGGACAAATTTGTTAACTCTCCAGGTCATTTATAATATATTCTGACTGAAGTCAAATCTTAAGCAGTTGAGTCATGGAGGGTGGACTCATGCATCCAGAAAAGTCCTCAGAGATACTTAAGACAACCTCATGTAAGTGAAAAAAACCTGCCACCCAGAGAAATGATCTAGCTTACCTACTCTCGTGGTTAGTAACAGATGCAGCGGGACGTGAACCCTGGTTCCCAAGTCCCAGCCCAGGACTCGCTTCTAGTACATAACACTGCCTGAAAAGTGCCAAGTCTTCCAAACCCTCCCATGAAGCCAAAATGACAACTATCAAGTATGAAATTCATTGGGAACCTAAGATAGATCTGGGAATGGGCGATAAGAGGACTCCAGCTGTGTAAAGATACAGTGGGCACTAAGAGAAACCTCACTTCTCCGCCTTGACGCCAATGCAGAGCAGTCCTCCCGCTGACTCAAAGCATAGCAGCCCCACTCCCAATTCTTCTGCCTTGTCTTTGTGGAACCATTTGGTTCAATCAAGTATGGAGCTTTTCAATTCTGTCTATGCACCTCTGGCTTTTTACTAACTATGTGACATGTAAGTATTTCTTTGGACCTCATTTTTCTCATCTGTAGAGTGGGGACAGTATCAACGTCTCAGAGAATTCTGCAGATGTTATGAAATCACACACGTAAAGCACATAGTTGGTGCTCAGTAAGAGATAGTTCTCTTCTCTTCTTTGCCTTCCTAGAGTATTTTAAGGGAAAATGTTACCATTTTTCCCCTAAATGAATAGAGTTGTTTGAATTCTGACATTGCAAGGGGTTGTTACAGTAACCTTTTTTCTTGGGTGAAAACGTGCCCAGTGGTCTCCGGAGGTCCCAGTGGCCCAGTCACGATTACATCGGTTTTCCTTGCACTGTAGGCTTGCCATGGCGTTCTTCGTTCTTGAATTATTTTATTGCTTCAGTATCTGCTGCGAAGTAATACCAAGCTCCTCTTGGAGATTTGTGGCTCCCATTTCCTTGCAGACACTGTTGAGGCATCAAACATGTTTTCCACATAGACCCTTGCATCCCAGAGCAACTACTATATTTTCAGCCAAGTAACTAAGAAATGCTTCCAGAGAATATTACTGCCGGTAGAACATTCATGCTTTCAATTTCAAAATACGTGAGACTTGCCTACCATCATTTCAGTTAACTCAAGCATGAAGAGCTGCTGTCTGTGCTCTGGCCCTGTCTTTTCCTCCTGTGTCGCTGACTAATCTATCGATAGGAAAAACATAAGCACAGCAATTTCCCCTTCCACCCTCAGTGCTTCATAACTACCCTGGCCTAAATTACATCTCCGGGAAGTGTTTCATCACACTCCTCTCCCCAGCTGCCACACTGTGTCATGTGGCACTTGCTGTCCCGCTTCGGATTTTTGGAACCAAGTCTTTGGCAGCACATCCTATTTGTCACGTACATGGAGGAAAGCCACTGTGGTGATTTTTTTCTTATTGTACTTTCTCCCCCCTTTTAAATTAATAATCCGAGGGGCCCAGGATCGCCTTTATTTTCCTAGTGGCACAGTCTCCCTTTCAGTGTTTGACAAAGGTAAATTGCAAGATGTATGTCCTTTTCTTCAGCTTTAGGAAGTGGCTGAACCGGTTGCTAGCCGCTTCCAGATTACCAATTGCTAG